TTTTTTTTTGAGACAGAGTCTCACTTTCTCACTCTCGGTAGAGTGCTGTTGCAGCGTCATACTGCTCACAGCAACCTCCAGCTCTTGGGCTTAGGTGATTCTCTTGCTTCAGAGTAGCAGAGTACCGAGTAGCTGGGACTACAGGTGTCCACCACAATGCCTGGCTATTTTTTTGTTGCGGTTTGGCTGGGGCTGGGTTTGAACCCGCCACCCTTGGTATATGGGGCCGGTGCCCTACTCATTTTGATAGTCTATCTTTGGGAATCAATTTGCAAAAGAGATACTTAAAATTGCATACTATCACATCTAAATATTCCTTCATTCATTCCCTCATGAAATATTTATGAAGTATGTTTTCTATATAACAGAGTGAAAGTAAGTATTAATAGTTTGACACTTCAATGGTGGGACTGTTTTTTCAAAGTCTATAATGAATCTCCAAAAAGTCACGGAATCATAAAACTGGAATTGAACTCAGAAAGCATGAAACTCAAATCTTTTCTTTCACACATGAAGGTATTCATATTAAATAAGGTCTGGAAAGGACAAGAGGCTTATCTAAGATCATATCTTCAGTTAGTGGCAGAATTAGGATAAAAATTAGATCCTTTTCATTTATTGAAACAAAAGGCTTTACTTTCTAACATAGCTTACTACCACTCTCATTTGTTCAAACTACAAATTCTGAATTTGCTGTAATATATATATGGAGGGAGAAAGAGAAAGATTGGAATTTATAAACATATAAATTTATATAAAATATATATCAATTTTAAACTACTAGGTAATATGAAAGATTGACCAGGTCAGTTGTATAGAGCAGAAACACTTAGAAGAGATTACTAATAAAGGACATTCACTGTACTTATGTTATGAGTAAATGTCATGGGTCCCTGTAAGAGTCCTGTAAACTATTTAGGTGGTCTGCTGGGGGCCAGTTAATTTTACATGGCTTGGCTCACTGTTCATTGCTGAAGGAACTGGAAGAGGATAAGGGGCCAAGCTAGGGTGATCACATTCTCTCCCTTGGAAAGTAGAAATTGGGATTCAGATGTAGTCTCTCAGCATGTACTTCAAATGTAGTATGTAAACTCAAGAGCTGTCAAATAGCCATATGTGGACTCTTTTCCTGCACTCAGAGAGGAGAAGGGAGCAAACAGGAGGAAGCAGGAAAAGATTGAGCCCTAAGGCTGCCCACCTGCCTCTTGGCTTTCTAGCCCCTAGATTTAGGCCCTGCCTCAGGCCTGTCTACTCTTGGGTTCTATGACACAGCCCCGTATTTTTATTTAAAAAAATCTCTCCCAACTTTTTCTCTCTTCCTCTTTCTCTTTTAACACTAGCCAAGCTGTTTTTGTTATGTGTCATGATAGTATTCAGATATCCTAAAGACACGGCTGTCTTTGTTTTTGGTCCATGGGACAACCCATAGCATGGTTAGATAGCTTGATGAGATGCATTTGGAAAATGAGATGTATTGTAGTAACTAAGACTGTGGGTGGAGCTCAAGACAGATGGACTTTTCAATCAATTCCTAGCATGTAATAAATAGTGATAAGGTAATACTGACTTATATGGATAAACTAGGTGATACATCTATTTACAGAAAGCCATATAATACTACATATATTTTAAAATCCAAATTCATATTTGCTTGTTCCTAATGAGTCTAAAATAATGAGGGTTTTCTATATTGACAAATTATATGTGTCAATGACATTTAAAAGTAGTGAAATAATTTTGATTATGAACTTTGCAATTATGAAAAAAGAATGGCCATTTGAACTCATAAAACTATCTTGATAGGGCGGCACCTGTGGCTCAGTGGGTAGGGTGCCTGCCCCATATGCTGAGGGTGGCAGGTTCAAACCCAGCCCTGGCCAAACTGCAACAAAAAAAATAGCCAGGTATTGTGGCAGGCACCTGTGGTCCCAGCTACTCTGAAGGCTGAGGCAAGAGAATTGCCTTAGCCCGGGAGTTGGAGGTTGTTGTGGGCTGTGTGACACTACCGAGGGCGATAAAGTGAGACTGTCTCTATCAAAACAAAACAAAACAAAACCAGACAAACAAAAAAACCACTATCTTGATAAATTAAAAGGCATCAGATTATATAAAAATGATAATGCCTAAATTGTACCAAATATTAAGTATCTATTAATGCAAATAAAAGAACAATGAATAAATGAACACTTAAAGAGAGTTCACCAGTGCCAGGAACTATGCTGAGAATTTTTCATGTATTGGCTCATTTGAACTTCCCCAGAATACTATAAGGTAATTGTTACTCCTGAATTACTTGAAATTAAATGACTTGCCCAAAGTCCCATAGCTAGGAGAGGCAGATACTGAAACCTAGGCAGACTGTCGTCACTACTCTACAGTCTGAATACGAGAAGTGGATGAACTAAGACTTAGAAAATAACTTTGGAAGCTCTTTGGCAATTTTGGAAAATAAATTCATGAAAACAAGAAAAATGCACAGCTAATAAGAAAACTCATTTATAGTATTTTGATTCTTACCGGGGGTTAGAAGGAGAAGGAGGATTCATTTCTTTCTGATAGTGACGACCCTGGTTGACAGGCTGTAAAAGACAAATCATTTGTGAATTATTAATTAGCACAATGCTCTTTATATGTACTTTCATATGCACTCTCATTACTGTAATTTTTTTCTTAGACACAATCCACAAGAATGGGGATGGGTTTGTTTTACATAACTGTCAAAGGCCCTTTGGAAGTTTCAGGAAGTAGTAAAAATGAGAAAAAGGTTATCCTAATGCCTAGTCACCAAACTCAGTAGCATCTGCGATATAATTAAAGTTCATGTGTTGATATCCTGCTCCTTGTGGAATTTTTAAGCTGCTAACATTGTTGATAATAAGGCATCTTGTGGAACTAATGCTGCATTGCAAGCATTAGCAATAACACAGAGACACAGAGACACTGAAAATATATTTATGTTTCAATGTTCATAATTTAGCAAGGATAATGCTTATTACAACCAATGAAAATTGTACATGTAAATCTTAGGTCAAAGTGTTCATTTTCTCCAAGTATATAATATAGCCTTAAGTATTAATCAATGAGCTAAAAAATGATACTGATACTTAACAAAGATGTGAAATCTCAAATTTTTCCTCCACAAGAAACCTTTAATTTACTATTTCAAAATATAGCTGAACAACTACATCCTACGTAGCCTTAAATCCTTGCCTCCATGGAACTTGACCTTTTTCCTTTGTATTTATTGTAAAGAGGAAAAATTTCATCTTCTTTTTGAACATCAGCTCTAAGTATTTATACAGTTAACAATAATGTAATTCTAATAAGAAAATCATTTTTAACTTTCTCACTTTATTACAAGTTGGAATCAGGTATACATTTTAAAATTGCTACTTTCTTACCAACTGGGGATGGTGTTGAGTCTTTCTCACACATAACAAATAATATGGCTCCACAGTGCTGACTCCAACTGAGGAAAATACTGCAGCAGTGGGGCCTATCTGTATGTAGAGAGCCCATAATCCGTATTTCCCACATATTCCTTCATTTAATGGATTTTAAAATATTAATGACATAGGTGACGAGAATTTTTCAGAGTTAACTATCTTCCTCTATAAATAACCTCTGGAAGTGTTCCTTTAATTTAAGTCAAACACCCCATCTGATAATCGTAGTCACTTAGCCTGACTACCTGTGATGCACCATGAATTTAAATGTACGCAGATACTGTGGTAATTGAACCAGTATCAATGCAGCACCAGTTCAGTAATAAGAAACAACAGCTGGGAAAACAGTGGAAGGAAAAACATGTCATAAGACATATTTGATCTCACTAGAGAAATAAGACTTTCAGCAATTTGCAAGTGAAATTTGCTTCTATGATTTAGGCTTTATTATTTCACAGCAAAAAAGAAATTAGCAAGCAAAGGGCCTAACAGGTTTTCTGGACCAACTCACACTGGTATAGAAACACTCTCGATAATAAATTCATTGGTATTCATTCGTACAGTATTTTCAGCTGTACTCAGACCTCCAGTGAATGGGTCTCTGCTTATTTATTTTCAGAGGCATTTCTATAACTCTAAGCATCATAGTATGGATATTCAGCTAAATTTCCATTTATTAATTTTATACTATTAATTCTATTTATACTAATCCCAATTCCCTATTCCAAATGACTTACTCTATCCCTTGGAAAATAGAAATGGTTATAGAATTCTATCTTGTTTTTTATTCAGCTCTTACTTTAGACTCTACAGACTGTTTCCTTTCCATGTTTGCTAATGTTGATATAAACAGCTTCAATAATACAAGGAGTAAAAAAGAACACAATCAATAAAAAATTCATACTGATTTTTAAGTGTTAGAAAATAAAAAATAACCAGTGGAAACTTTTCAAAGTAATAAGAACTGTTGACATAAATAGACAGAAGAACAACTGGCTGTCTGAAGCCATATCTATCCACTCACAAATGGATATTCATGGAGGTCAGGACATGCTACCCCCCAAATATGGCACCTTGGCATTTGAGAAAACAGCAGAAGGAGGGTCACTCTTAACTTCCCACTGTCCTTCTCTCCTGAAGGTGGCCAAATAACTCAGGGAGGATTTTTTGACCTTCTCCTGGACCAAATCATAAGACCCTCATCTGAGAGATGCTCTCCCTACCCCCAAAAGAAAGGAACATCTATTTCTGAAGACACAGAGAAGAATCTGAACAAAAGGCTTTGTGAATTTTCCCCCAGTTTACCACCATTAGATCATATCCTCTTTGTCCAATCATATTTCTCAATAATTTCCCACTCTTTATCAAACTTAGCATAAAAATATACAAGTTTAACTGTTTCCTTGGTTCTTTTCCTTATGAAGATTCCCATGCCATGTAAGCTTATGTTAAATAAATTTGTATGGTTTTCTCTTGTTCATCTGTTTGTTGTTACAGAAACCTCAGCCATGAACCTAGGACAGGTGAGGAAAAGATATCTAATATTTTTATTCCCCTACAATACGTTTCTATACATATATAGGAAACATCCTGTGAAGGCACCAGTGAAAGAAAGTAAAATTGGTTTCTTGGATTTGGAATTCAGCTATATCTAGAAATACCAGAAGTAGACACAAAGAGATGCAACCAACATCTATGAATAACTACAACCATCAGTATAGCAGTGACTGTATTTATGGAGCACTTACTCTACTCTTGATAGATATGATCTCACTTGATCCTCACATTCTATAAAATAGACAGGTTGAACAACTACATACAACAGATCAGGACATTCTAGACAGTAAGTGTTAACTCAGGATTGCGCCTGCCAGGAAACAGTGAAGTCAGAAGTTGAATCCCAGAAGTCTGATTTCACAGCTTATCCTCTTAACCATTATTCTGCAGTGGCTAATACAGCTCAGGAGTACACCTAGGGTGCTAAATAGGTAAGTTCTTTAATAACCAATATGGCAAAAATCAGTGCAGTTTGTGGCAGTGATCCTGAAATACATTTATTTAAAATAAATATGACTATCTCCTTATCATACCTTAAATTCATTTGATTTCATTCTCATGATACATCACTATACATTTAAAATGAAAGAAAATAAGTTTTGCAACATTGCTAAGTTTGGAACAAACATAAGATATAATAAGACAGTGTTCTGAGAATGAGTAAAGTTTATTTAATATTTCATGGGGTGACTTTCATAGTCCGTAAATGCAGAACAATTTTCAAATTTCAGTATTTTCTCCTGACAGCACAAATATCACACTGACTCTAATACCAGGTTTTGTATATCATTTCTATAGTTGGATAAGAAACATCTGTTCATCTGATTTATTTGCCGCTTAGCACAATCAACTACTTACCTTTTTATGTGCAGTTCAGGAGGATTAAAAGAAAACACATTACCCCCTAAGAGAGCTGAGAAGTTAATGAATCTGTATGTCAGAACAAATTAAAACCTATAAACTATAAAGAGCCTGATATGTCAATATATGCTGCTACGCTGTTGAGCAAAGAAATAGAGATCCTAGAAACTCCGGACTCATCCTTTTGGTGTCGCTGTTGCTACGCACTAGTGCCAGGGAAACAGTACTCCTTTAAAATCAACTACCACTGAGCGTGAGAAGCTTTGCTTTTCCATGATCAAGCTGCTAGAAATTTGGGGGTGAGGGAGAGAAATGAAGGCTAAATAAAAGAACAGGAGATAAGATAATCCTGCCATGTTAAAAGGTAAAGACAACATTTTTATGTTTTTATGTAAAACCTATGAAAATGGCAAAATGTTGTTCCAGGGTTAATCAAGACCATAAATAACTTGTCTGAGTGCCTCACCATATGCTTATAATTTTATTAAGTATATTTTGCCTCGTTTTTCTTGAAATATTATGCTCTGCAACATGCCATGTTGATGGATGCATGCAATGAGCTGGATTTTTTTTGTGTGTGTATGTGTGTGTAAGCTGAGAACACTAATGTGCTTGATTAACTCCCCACTCCTTTCTTTTTCTTTCTTTTTTTTTTTAAAAGAGATGGGGTCTTGCTAGATCTCCCAGGCAGGGTTTGAATTCCAAGGCTAATATCCTCCTGAGTAGCTGGGACTACAGGCCCATGTGCTGTGCCCAGTTCAGGTTATAGGAGTTCTTAACTTGAAGGAATGATGGCTTTGTGGCATCTGCGCACAGGGTAGTGGCACTTCAGGCATTTTTTTCTTGAATCTGGGTTTGGGGAGGGACAGAGGAAAAAAATAATGAAACTTTCAAATAATGAAAAAGTTTATTGTAAGCTCTGAGGGGGTCAATCAGAATGCCAATGGTTAAGTTCTTATCAAAACAAGCCCAAGAGAATCTCCGCCCACCTTTACATGTTTCAGTAGTCCAGAGAAAATGTCCTAGAAATCCTTTCTAGTCACTCAAGTGGCCCTTTGAGGAAAACAACTCAGGGGAATAGTGGTTTGCAGTCAGTGTGAGCTTATTCTGCTAAGCACCGGGCACAGGGATTCCATTCCATGTGCTCATTCAGTTTGCATAATGACAGCAGGAGGAAGACCCTCTTGTTGTCCCCATTTTATAGGTGATCATGTCAATAAATGGGAGAGCTGGGACTTGTGCCCAGGTTGGCTCATCTAGAGTTTATATTCATTTGGTCATCACATGAAACAGTATCCATCAATAGCTATTCCTATTCCTTAAAAAAATACATACACACACACACACATACATGCATGCGCACACACACAACATTGTTTTATGCTCCTGTCGATCAAAATCTCTCACCAAGATAAAATTCACTTAAGAACTCGTTATAACTAACTCCTAGATCCTTTCCTAAGGCTGCCTAGAGCCCAGTTTTGGAATAAATCTCATGAGGGTTACTCTTAACAGAAACTCTCCAAAATTGATTACTTATAGCCTGGTTTCCACAGAAGTTGTAAAGTATTGTTTTAATTGAATTTGGTTCTAAGTTAGAAACTTTGAAAAATTTGTCTGTCAAAGGCCAATGGATTTCTCGGTAGGCTTGATTTATTTAGCAAGAGATGCCTACAAAAGCCAATTTGCTATGAGAAATATGGTTACATTTAATT